GAGTACTATATTTGTATTGTTGTACAGAATCATGTACTGTAGCTGTACTTGTGTTTAGGTTTCGAGTATTTCTTCCACCAATGATTTTGAGCACTTGAGCGATGCTTTTCCTCACAAGAGTCAAATAATTGTCAGTGTCAGCAGCAGATTTAGAGAGAGGCGCAGGAGGAGGATAAACCGCTGCCAGGGACAAAAGCTTCAATCTGAGGTACTGAGGATTTACACTACACTGCAGCACGATAAGGCCATCATTAAATCATTACGATTGCTATGCCTGACTTTTTCTATTTACTTTTGTATTTTGTTTTATAGCATTAGAGAATAGATTACTTCAAAGTCACAGAAATGCTCTCATTTGCTGTATTTTTTATAAATTGTATACATTTTTGTAATGTTCTAATATAAAATATTAGCCCAGAGAAGCTGGACTGCTGTCTTCTACTGTGCAGAATCAGACCAGACCAAGAGGAGAGAAGCTTCCACACCTGTCGTATATAGTTGAAATAAATGTGTAAATGCTAGCTAAGTCTCATGCATACAGGATATTCGAGGCAAGCACAATATCATCTGAGATCACTTTTCAGACCAATTCATTATTTGATCATGTTTTCTTTTTCATTTCTGGGTTTAGTTTGAATGCAAACACTTTAGGTCGATTGCAGCTCATTTCAGATGTAATTGCGCGTCTCACGCTGATGGAGAATTGTCAAACTCTCACTGCTCCGCCACCAGTGGCCTAAACAAGCACGACAGCTCACCACAGTTAAGTGTTTATGGCCCAGTGCAGTGTGCAGGTGACATTAATTATCAGCAGATGACAGTGGCAGTCCCCAATGGACCAGATGGTCATACAAGGGCCATGCACATGGGGGAGGGAATAGATATAAAAGGAGCAAAACAGAAATTTGGACAAATGTGCGAACAAGTGGGTTACAAGGAACAAGGAAGCCGCTGAAGTCATTTAGAGCTGGAAAACGCAAAATGAATATCATCCACAGGTGATCTAGCATGACTTAAACGATCTGGCCGTAAACAAAAAGCAGTTTTATTATTTAACATATCCCTTCCTTAATTAAACACATGATTATATAAAACTAGCATTGCACTTTATTGGAATATGCATGTCATAATCAAATATGCTTGCAAAAGGTCTCGTTTGGAGATACAGTACAGTGGTTAATGTTTTTGAGTGTCCAGATATGTTAATAATATAAAAAATAACATTTCATGTTGAGCAGCTTGTCTTCATGCATTAAAAGTTATAGAAACCTTAAATCTTTTACATTGAGTTTAACAGTATATCTGAGTCTGCTACCAAAGTACGTGGAACTGTACACCCCCATAAACAATGTGATCCGGCTCGCTTCTTTCCGTGGCGTCAGGTGTCTTGTTAAATGCCACTCCAAAACCCCCATTAGTTCATTTCCCTCTTGGTTAATTAACATCTGCTTCTGACCTTTTCAACAAATAGGTGCAACTTTATCTCAAAAGTCAAGGCTACGAAACTATGGATCAGAGCAGGCTGATTACTGATCACCAAGACACAGGAAAGCCCTTTGACTACAACTTTCACTGATCTGTGCACCGAGGCTCAGGCTGAGCTTGGTCTTCATCCACCATCTCTGATTTGACCAGAGGGGGCGGGGGGGCGTGGGGGCGGGGGGGAGGTGATCATGCATTATAATGAGAATATATTGTTGAAGTAGCTTACAACAATGAGTTTATACAATTAAAGCAAAATACCCTATATGATAATGCAAAGTTCCCCTTCTCACGACATCGCTTATGTAGAAGCATGTTGTTTCTCCATCACACTAGTCTCCTCTTAACCAGGACACTGAGCTCTACTCATTACGACAAAGTACGGAGGAGACTGTTCTATTACCACATACCAGATGTCCAAATCAGCCGTGTTGTTTCTGCGCTTACTGTGCCCAACCGCCGCAGTCCCACCGTTTATTTTGGTAGGGGAGCACAGGCGGAGGGGGGAGGCTCTGCTAATTGTGAGCAGCTGTAATATCACACGACCATCATTAAGAGGGCACCAGCTTTGCACACGCATTCATAATCCAGCCCAGAGTGGAATCAGTGGCGTCTGCCCACCGCTACTGAATCACCAGATTGTTAGTTTGGCCTAATTTTTACACTTTGTTTATAAAAGACTAAATCGTTCAACATGATTAGCACCTGCAATAAGTAATCCTTTTCCGGAGAGATCTCTGGAGGGTGGGGCTCCGTCAGGTGGATGTGAGCAGATGCATTTGTTCAAAGGTACTATAGAAAGTCAATGCAAATGTAAACGAATGAGCCGCACTATATCTGCAACGCCTATCTGACTCTACTATAAACAGTGCTATTTCTAACTTTTTAACTTGTGTTAGCCCTCAAAAGATGTCCAATGCCGAAGCCTTTGAGCCAGAATATCTTTAAAATACAAAATCAACACAAAATAATGTTGATGTCTTGTAAAAGCTGGGGTGTCTAACTTTCAACCATGTAAGCAACTTTGTAATACAAATAATGTGATAGTCCTGAGTGGATACAGGGCCTTTCTGAGTGGAGTTTGCATGTTCTCCCTGTGTATGCGTAGGTTTCCTCCGGGTGCTCCGGCTTCCCCTAAAACTAAACATTGTAAAGCGCTTTGGGTGACCTTGGTCTGTAAAATGCGCTATATAAATAAACATGACTTACTTACTTACTTCTATTCTACTATTAGTTTTCACATGTGTGCACTTTTTGGCCTCGGTGAAAAAGGGAAAAGATGGAAAGGATAACATGTTTTCCAATAAGAGGCAAGCATGGTCTGATTCCATAACATCAAAATATTCTAGTGCATTAAATATATTCAGATATGTACTGTGTATGAATATAGCATTGTCCGACCACAATAAATCCCAAATTATCCCAAAACTCAAATCTCCAGTGTAAAAAATAACATATTGTGAATTATTAGCAAAGGAGTCACAGAATAAACTATTTCTTCCTCGTCTCACAAATGATGGCAGATCTCGCTCTGTGTCATCTGTTGTTGTTGATATTGAAATTTGTCATTGTGATCTAGGACTCACGGAATATTTTCATAATCTGGCGCTATTATAAACAGCATTTGCAAGTGTTAAATATGAAGTCCAAAAGAGACGACACCTCAGCCATCGGTTGCACAGACACGAGCGGACCACACACAGAGAACAGCTCCGCATAAAGATATTAGAATATAAGCAGTTTGTACACAGACTCCTCCACACTCAGGCCGCTTTAAACAACCGCATCATAACATCAGCTTGATACTGAAGGCTCAATTATAGTGCACAAAATGAATTGATGTTCGTATCGTGTCCACATCCTGTATTTCAAAGTGCTTTTCTGAGTGCTGTCTGTCTCTGTTTGTGTGTGAGAGGCCGAAACGGGAAAAAGCCTCGTCGACACTGAAACATAAATAGTTTGAATTTCATTTTGATTTATAAATATTTATAAGCAAGTATTTGGACATTTTGGAAACTTAAATTATTAGTTGACAGTAAAACTTCCTTCCTTTGTGAGATCATCTGTGCTATCACTTACAAAGTGTTGTGTGTGGCCTGCATCTCCTGACCCACATGCTGTTTTCATTAAAATATATTTAGACTAATTTTATTAAAGAAAATGACTGGGGGTTTTGGGGAGATTCTTGCAGATTCAGTAGACAGCAGACAGTGATGATCCAGGATACGTATGGACATTTATGAACATTTACAAACCTTGGTCTGTCAACGGCTCCTATAGTGTTTGTTTCATTATTTATTTCCTGAATTTCAAACTGTTTGATTCTTTAATATGTGAATTATACAAACATTCATTGAATTGAGCATGATGATCTTAATTGGCTTTGAAGTAAATATTTTAGATTTCCTGTATGTTATATATTTTTTTCTCCAAATAGCTTTTGTTACAAAGTACTTGACAAAGAGAGAAGGAATTATCATGGAAACTCATGTAGATATTTGATTATCTTGGTGTTGATCTGACACCTGCTTCTTAGGATAGATAAGTTTTTGCTTTGCTTGAAATGTTGCTAGGTTTGGCTTAAATGGATGATTCTTCTTATGGATGATTTGAGAAAATACTTGCTTAATCACTAACAAGTTACATGTCTTTAATACATATATATATACTGTATACAGGCAATTGTTAATTGTTATCCGTGTCCTTGATCTCATATACGCCTGACATTACAAGAGCTTAAGTAAAAAGGCACAGCATTAATATTAGATGAGAATGATGGGAATAGGTGGAGGGTCCCTCATAAGCCTATACACTCGGCATATTGTTAGCGACAGTGATGAGTTATCCATGCAACATGAGACTGTCTGAGTCACCACAGGAGACTGGCATGTTCATATATGAAACAACAGAGCCTCAGTGTCCAATGAGAAAGTAGCATTTTCCTTAATCAGTCCATGAAGTATAAAATATCTTCTTAAAACGCGTTCACATTATGTCATTTGTAAATGCATATACACACAATTAGCTTTGGCTCAGTGCAGATATGATATTTCAAATTGTGTATGGGTTTCCTGTATCAACATCTGAAAACTGTTTTACCCATTCAGAAGATATACTTTGTTTTGAATAGTGAATCACTTTGTTCCTGATTTTCACATTCAAGACGACAAACTACGTAACATTTAAAACCAGCCAACTCTCTGCCAGCTTTCATAAATCTTTTAGTTGTTTGGTCTTTATCAGAGCTTTAGAAACAGAAAAAGAAATCTGATGGAAAAGAGAAGTTGCTTATCAACTCTCATCCCAAAACATGACGTAAAGTTTCATGTTCCTTCTCATTGCCAGCAACTTAAATTAAGAAAGTTATTTTATTTTTAAAATAATGCATACGTCTGACAGTGGGACACTAGACTACGATATACAATAACAATTATACTTGAAAACAGTTGAAAAAAAATACACATGTCTTTATCCTTTTTTGATATTAACAACTGGTAAAGTGCAATATTGGTTTATATTTACTCCCAGAGCACCAGAGTCTGTCGTTTGAAGGTCAGTGGCTGAGTTCCCGGGACAGTGGGCAGTCTGCTTGTGATGGGGACCATGCTGTCTCCGGTTGCCAGAGCCGTGACCATCCTGGTGTGGGGGGCTAGCCACAGATCGATTCTTGCCGCGTGGAGCTGGATGCCCAGGATAGACCGGTGTGAATGGATGCGGCGCCCGGGGACTGAATGACATAAGCATCAGACGTCTAAGTGTCCCATTAGCAAGACAGTGTTCTGCTCTCTTCTCATCACCAACAAACTCAGCACATTGGCGTTGCATTCAGAAGAACTCACATGATCTGCACAAGCGAGAAAACAGAGACACTTAAAGTAGATAAGTCTAAAGTGAACAACCAAAGTGATGCAAGAGTACAGTTTGGTGGTTTTCAGTGGGATTAGCAGAGTCAAAGAATAAAGGGCAAAATATCAACCTATTCAGAATCCCATAATTTAAACAAAACATTTTGCCTGTTTTTTGCAATTAAGGCTGTGGCAAAAAATCCCATCTCAAAGTCAATACATTGCGATAATCAAGATAAAATCAAAAGACTCAAAAAGAATAATAGTAATATTTGTGAGACCGGTTATTTTACTTTCTTTATAATGACAGCAGAAAACATTGAGATCAGATAATATTGGGGGGAAATCGGCCAGCCCTACTTGCAATTGTGATTATATGTTGGGGATGAAAATGTAAAAAATTATATGCAACCTGCAAAACAAAAGATTTGTTTGTCTTCTTCTGTTCCTGCTTGTTAATACTGCACAAATGTGAAGAGAAGCGCCTTTGAGTATCCGAAAAGCGCTTTATAGGTACAATGATACTAATATATATCTGATATATACTGATACAATGATATAATAATGTATGTAGTATGACATGGACAAATATTTGCATAGATAAATACATCAAAAAATTAAAAACAATACTATTTATTATTGAACATAACACTTATTAATGAATCTGATTTTCTGATATTTTTTAAATTCTCAATAATGTAAAATGTAATGTTCAGTTTAGGCTTTATCTGGAGTCACAAAGGCACTCCATCAAATCTATTTCTGACGTATTCAACCCCACATAAAACAGAAACAGGGGTTTACTATATGCTCCAGAGACACATTTATTGCTACTTGCTTATCACTAAAGGCTTTGGACCCTCGTGACCAGTGTGAGGGCTTCACCAGAGCAGAGATGAAACAGTGTGGTGGGATTGTTGCGGATAATTGTTAAGCACATAAGAAATGATGACAAAACATTAAGGGCCACACACAGAGCCACTGCTGCTCTCGGCCTGTGTGGACCAAACCAGAACCCAGCGCACTCCAGTGGTACTTTTATGACTTATTATCTTCTGCCCACTGCAAAAAAGCGTCACTCCATGTGCACAGAGGAGAATAGAGCTGGAACATCCTGCCCACACTGTCCATCAAACTGTCCACTGATTATAACATGGAGAACATTATGTCGAGGAGAAGATCAAAGGAGGCCCTAGCTGCACCATTAATTATGAGACAATAAAACATAGAGGGCAACTTATACGGGTCTTGCCCATAGACTGTATATAGACAGACAATTCTAACCCCCAAGCTCAATGGCGCCCAATACCAAAGTGCTCAAGGACGAAGTTTTTTTCAACTGGCTCCAGCTCTGATTGACTTGCATGGTCAAATACACTTCTCTTGTAACTGTTTGTCTCACTCTTGCAATTTTGGGTTAATAATCTGTGGTTTAGCGCTCTCTATGGTCCTGGTGTTTAAATTGTGATATAGTCTCTGTAAATCCAGATATGAGCCATATAAGGATTGACCAATCACATGCCTTCATTTGCGGGGGAAACTTCAGTTTGCCTTAGCAACCTTCTTAGCTACACGTCAGGCCCGTTTACGGCATGAAGCAACACTATGGGTGACGTCCGCACTCGGTTAGTCCACTCCTAATAAACGCTCTATGATTTTGCCTTGACCAATGATTGTTTAGAATCAAGAGAAAGCTATTTTTGAAACTGTTCCAAAAATGTCATTCATATAATATCATTCAATTAACTCTACTATGACTATCATTTAATACAAACACAATAAGACATATCCTGAATGAGTGACCAGACTTATGATGACCAAAAAGTGTGGTCCTCTGTGTTTTTATTTTATTTCTATTTATGGTTTTAATCTGTTTTATATATTTGTATTCTTTTATACTTGGTGAAGCTAAGGATAAGTTGTTATTTATTTTATACTTTTTTGTGCAGCACTTTGGAAACGTAACTGTTGTTTAAATGTGCTATATAAATAAAGTGGATTGGATTGATTGGATTGAAAAAGATGGTTGTCACAAGATGGAAGCCCCCTCACTCACAGTCTTGCAGGTAGTGGGAGATGAGGTTTGTGATGACACGATACAAATAGGTGAATAGGATAAAGAATAGGTGGCCTACAATGATGAGAAAGCCACAATGGACCAGTGCATCTGAGCTGTCCATCACCTCACGAGGCTTTACAGGAAGTCGGAAAGTCAGAAAATGAAATAATATTAACGCAGACAAACATCAGGTTCAGTACCACTCGAGTTGAGTCCGTGTGGAGGCACAGGTATGTCTTTTAAAGTCAAAACTGTTTGTTTGGTTTTTTAGTCTTGGCTGATTGTATGTTTTAAATTAGACCTAGAGTCTGAGATAAAGTTGAATTGAATAGAATCTTACTAATGCCTTGAGATTTTATTTTTGTCTCTGCCCAGGATCTATGTATATTTGTGTGTTTCCATGACGTGTGTGTGTTTGTGTTTTTGTTCCTTGATGATATTGAAAATGGATTGCAAAAGAAACACACAGAGTGACACTTCCCCAACATTAACTAACATGACATTAATGAATGATGGGTGGTTTTTTGAAAGGCAATGACACAGACATGGCCTCGCTGAATCATGTTTTAAACGAAGACGCTTTTTGTTAACTGCAGATTAACTTTTTTAACCGAATCTGCAACAGACAGAGCAAGTTGAAATTGACATAACTGTAGTAAACTGCCGTGTGCCTCAGCATTGCTCTGACTGGCCAGGAGAAAGAAAAGCTGGTACTTTATTTCTTGGCAAGTCTCCACACTAAAACAAGATACTAATGTAGCTACAAGAGAAGGTCATGAACAGCAGTTAGATCCATCTGATTCCTTTTGACGAATCATGCTATGACTTAGAGCAGGAAGCGCTCTGTGGCTGAGTGCTGCTGTGACCGGGAGAGCGTGTGTAAACAGAGGCTTCTTTGTGACAGCGCTTCACTCTCTGCAGCTCCGTGTCTCCTTCACTTAGCGGCTGGCCACTCAAAACTCACACAGCCACTCCTCTGCGGTGTACGGTAATTACAATTAAATCATGTTCAGTGCGCCCATCATCTTATTTTCTTATTTTGCAGAGACAAATACAACACAATAATGGAATTTGAAACCGCACTTGACAGAATCACAGCTCAGCGGCCGCAGAAGTGTGAAAGTGCGGCATTGTCCCGACTCTGATGCGTTCAGAGTGACAGGTTAAAGTCTAAAAACAATGTATAGGGATTTGTGAGTGTGGCTCAGAGAAATATGTGATTTAAATAAATATTACTTTCTTACACAATTACTTTAAGGGACCATATGTAATATTTCCTTTACAAATGACATATCTTTTATGTGTGTCCCAAATCCCAGGTCAGCTTGGACCAATCATATTTTGTGTTATTCTTAATGAAAAGTACACAAGACCTCCATAATATTTATGTTAACGAAAGGAGCATGAGTCACTTACTTGGGTTGACAGTTTGTTTGGTGAAATGTAGCTAGTTTTGGCCCTTTTGTTTATACATAACAAAATGCACAAACAAAATAGCACCACACAAGCCAATACAAAAGAGTTTCTCGCTGAACCCCAGCGGGTGGATTGCATCAGCAGCTACATGTGTCACAGACAAGAAGATTCTGGCATTATAAATGGGATTCTAATTCAAACAAATGTATTCGATCACTGAGAGTGCATCTAATATTCGGCCTCTTCAAACCTGTGATTGAACCTGCACAAAGTTCAAATGAGATGTTTTTTCTTTGATTGATTTGTCTGAACTTTATTTTATTTACCAAGTGGTTTAATTACCACTTGGCTGGACTAAAACTTTAGTGCCACACTGAGAGGCAGACCCTCCTCCAGAAAAAAAGTTACTTGTATTATAATAACAAGGCTTTATCACATGAGTTTGAAAAGAATCCTGTTAAAACTATTATTTTAAGTAATTTTAAAGGTGCATTGTCCAAGTTTTTAGATGAAAAAAGTAGATTAGATAGTAGTGTAAAAGTAATTTAGATGTTCACATTAAAAAGCTACATAATGCCCCTTTAAAATCTGAGACAGAATTCCAACACAAACATTTTAAAAGGCGTTCTCGTTGTACATTAAGATATACAGTAGAGTAAAACCTCTTTATTCTGATGGTATAGCAGCACAGACAGCCTGGCTCCTCTCCCCGTAGCGCCCTCCCTCTCTCACTCACTGTAATTGCGACACAGTGATGTCAGAGTGACAGCTGAGCCTGGACGTGAGACAGCGTTGAATAAGCGGCGTCCACAGTATCAAGAGCACAAAAACCTATCGGAGACACTCTATGGGGTGTCAATTTAATCATGCTTAAACCAGGTATCAGCTTCCTCCATGATTCCAACAATGACAAAGAATCCGCCTGTCTCTCTGCTGCAGACGGACCTGATACGGGCCGAGACTGTGTACACTGCACACATATGCACCCATTCAAGTCCTCACACTTTATAGGCACAGATAAGGAAAAGATAAAACCAAAGAATAACATTGAAGTACCAGATTACTGTAATATTATCAATAGAGAAGTTATAGCTTATATGTGTACCTGTAAAAACAACTTCTACAGCATTTTCATGGGCACTCAAAGACACTGTCATTATTGATTCACTCCATACACATTGGTGATGAAGAAAGTATGTCATCTTTATCTATATAGCACATTTTTACACACCAAGGTCACCCAAAGCGTTTTATAATGTTATAATGTTCAAAAACTACTTATTTAGCCACAGATGTCCCAGGGCAGACAGACAGATGCAAGGCAGCAAATTTGGGCCATTAGCCCCTCCAACCAATCATTCACACACACACACACACACACACACACACACAGACACACACACACACACGCACGCAGTAAACTCGTACTAGGCAATGTGGGTGAAGTGTCTTGCTTAACACAACTGTGATACCTGGTTTCCCCAAGAGGACTCCCGTCACAGTACAAACCAGCCCCTTCCCTGCTTAGCCTCAGAGATATGACAAGTTCAGGCTTTCACATGCATATACAGTATGGCTATCCAAAGAGACAAAAGCATGTGGCAAGTCGTACTCAAAAGCAAATACATACTCAACGTTACAGAACACAGGATGCACAAAGCTGTAAAATTAGCCATTAAGATTTTGCGTGACTTCTCGTCCAATCGCTTGCTCCCGATGCTCCTGTGTGTGTGTGTGTGTGTGTGTGTGCGTACAGTAGAAATAATTCATCTGACTGCCCTCACTGGAGCTGGTGTCCTGTGACTGCGCTGCTGCCTGTCTGTTATCACCTGCAATTGATGTAATCCACACAAGTATTATGGAGTTTTGTGTTGGGATGGAGTCAGCATCAGCGCCTCCTCTCATACCTGGAGAAAAGTGATACATGCAGCCTACACTCTGACTGAGCCACTTTAACACACACTTACTCTACAAGTGCAGACGACCGGGGCTGGTTCTCGGCTTCTGGAACAGTGAGTCAGTGATCTGGATACGTGTGGCTCCAAAAATGTTTGATTACATGTTATATATTTGAGTAAAAATGAATGCATGTTTTATAACCTGGTTTATGCAGTTGGAATGAATCATTTCAGATTATATGGAAAGTATATGGAGTTCCAATAAAGCAAATCAATTCCACTTATTTTTATATAACCCATAAAGTTGTCACTTCACCAACAACAGTGCAGAGAATCAAATGGTTCAAACGCAGGAAATGCAATAATGGCCAACCCATACAGCAGGAGCCATTGGTCCATAAGGAGCGGGATGACCAATGTCCATAAATGTCCTTCATTTGCTTTACTTGATCACATTGAATACTTTTCTTGCTTTAATTGAATATTTTTAGTTTTTCTTATATTGCGCACTTAACAAACAAAGGTTCCCAAAAATCACTCTACACTGTTTTTGGAGTTATTTTGGTTATTTTCCATTCCCTCCACACACACGGTGATGACAGAAGCCTCCGATCATCACCCTCCAGTCACTCACTCATTACATTCTATCGTCCATTCTCCGTGGTTTTAGTGGTACCGGAGGAGACCTACTGTATACAAACACAGGGAGAAGATGCAAACTCCACACAGAGTCCAAACAG